GGTGCCCGCGTCGGGTTTTCTCGGGCCTTTCGTCGGCGCCGCTGCTGCTGCTGTTGAGCGCGCCGGCCTGAACGCCGCTGGGCTGAGGGAGCCCTTCCAAAGCACAACGCCCCATCTGGGCGCTGAGCTCCGCTTTAATCAGGACAGCGCGCTGCTCTTGCGCCCCTGTTTCCCCCGCTTGCACGTGCCCTTTGGCGCTGGAGCCTGAAGCCAAGCTGCTCGGCAAGGCTGAAGCGGCCTGACGGTCGTTCCTCCCCCACGGAAACGAGCCTGGCTTCAGCAGGTCAAGGACTCACTCACTCGGCTGCAGGTGCGGAAAACAGGCAGCTGTGGAGGAGGAACAGCCGGAACGGGGCCTTCGCTGGGGTGCAAGGGAAGTTGCCAAGGGCCACGGACCTCAGCGGTGGCGGATCAGGGGTTCCTCCATGGTTATCCTCCAGAGAGAGGGAGCGCTGGAGGATCCCAGTTGTTGGGCACAATTTGCTATGGAGTGGCTGGTGGGTCTGCCCAGACGCAAAAGAGTCAAGGCTGAGAAAGAAAGATGGATGAATGGATGGATGATAGGCTGTGAGTGCTCCAGGGCCTCACCCACAGAGTGGCAGCCGGGGTGCCAGTCCTGTGAGCTAAGGAGTGCCCACAGAGGGATGAAATGAGCACGTCAGGAACCAGCCTCGCTCTTCCTGCTGGTCTTGGTTGGCCGCAGAAGCCAACTAAGGGGCAGTGAATTGGGGCCGGGGAAAAGAGTTCCCACTTGGGTCCCTGGAGCCCCGAAACAGGGCCAGCCCTGCCAGGAGGCCAGGCCAGGAACCAGAAACCGATTGAGCTTGTTGTGATTTTTGGCTGATGCTCAGTGTAATTCCTCAGAAACCAAATTATGAGTCACCCTCCAGTGTGTAAATTAGGTTTTGCAGCAGAGTCAGTTTACTTCCTCCTAAATATCTCAGCACCTTGTTTTGGGAGGGCAGGACTGAATTGGCAGAGGGGAGACTGTGCAGGTGAACCCGTAACTCTTTCCCATGTCTGTCTCCCCGGCCTGGCGCTCTCCACACGTCCCATCGTCCATAACTCAGCGTTGAGGGTGGCTGCTTATGGTCCCCTCGGTAACTGGTAAACCCCAATTAAACAAACCAGGGCTTAACATGAGAGGTGCGTTTCTGGGCCTGATCCATCATTACCCTCCTCTTGCTTCCGCTTTTCCAGAAGACGGAGAACAGCTGCCACAACCCTTTCCAGGCGATTTTTCCCAACATGACATTGTTCCAGATGCGATTTCACAGGAGTTCCTGCTCCAGAAGATCCGTGAAAGTCTACAAGAAGGTGAGGCTGAGAAGAGGGGGCATTTTAGGGTTAGATGATAGACCCAAACCCATCTAGAGGTGTCTCACACACACACACACACACACACACCCTCACACTCATCTTTTGGACGTAAGCGCAGAGTCCTCAAGGTTCGCCAGTTCTGCTGCCAGGGGACTGCTGCCATGTGAGGAGCAAAGGGCCTCATTCTGGATGGGAAGC